GGCGCAATCGAACCACCGCGAAGAGCTGTGCCGCCGAAATCGGGCGCGTCGACGCTCGAGGAATATGTAGTATTTTTTATTAAGACGTTAGCGCGATTTTTAATGAATTTAATTGAATTATTGAGTTTCAACAAATTAAAATAAAATTTTTACCGAAGAAGCATACTGCAAGTGCGAGGTCCCCACTGTGTATAACAGCCCTGCGTACTCTCTTTTGCCAATTTTAATTGTTAATAACTCGGTAAATAGTAATTAAAACCAAAAGTGACAAAGGAACTTTAAGTTAAAAATCCCGCCCTCTTTCTCCCCTTGAGGGATTAATTAATCGATACGAGACACTGTACATTATTTAGGCGTTTAGAAACCGACACGTTACTTTGATATTTAAAAGCTGTTAGTGCAAACGAAATACGCTACAGGGTGAAGTCTCTGAAAAGATGAAAACGCGGATTCTTGAACTTAAAAAGAAATCGTTTAGTTTCCGTCTTCGTAAAACAGTTCGATAACTGTTCCATGACAGTTTGAGACGAGGCGCGGTCTGGGGTGCGGTCAATACCTCTGCTGTTCTTCCTAACCCATCACTTAGCGTTAACATGATTGACAGCCCAGAAAACCCCTTCAACGGAATAACGCGCGAAAATCGCGTGAGCTTAATGGCCGGCCCTCATGAAAATGAGGCTGCCTACGTGTAAGGCAGCAGCTTCGCCTCAATATCGCATATCAGTCTACGGAAGAACACGGACAGTAATGTTCTTGGAACGTTTCACCGTAACTCACGGATGTGGAGGCGCGTCGGAATGCTTGCTAGCTCGACAGGAATTAACAATTATCGTATGAAGGGAAACGTATCAGAAAAAAAGAATCAGTTAACCGATCGCAATTCCCTCACGCGTATGACTTGTCGATTCCTTGAATGTGGACACTTGCAAAGCGCAGCGCATGCAGTATGCATTATACTTTCATGCAAAATATGTGTAAAATCACATCTGGATGGATGGTACCGGGACCCCAGGAGAACGGATTGGAAACCAGAGAGAGCGAGGCTAATCTAATTCCCATTGAGCATTTCAGGTCGAGAAGTCGGAAGCTGGAAATCGGTTTTCTCGTTGTTGCATCTCACATTTATGTTATATGTATACATCTGTAGGCAAAGCCGGATTAAGGGTGAGGCGAACGTTGCCCTTGCCTCGAGTTCAAAGTACGAGGGGGCGCATAAATCTCACATTCTCGTTCTCTCATTCGTCTATTACGCCTTGAAACAAATTTAAATTTTTTAGTCAGGCAACAAATTCACGTCTGTAAGTGTTCCAGAATTACAAAAATTCACGGTTGACTTAGTTTTGTAACGTAACGATGATTTAAACCTTGATAAAATTTCTGGAGAAATGGCAAGTTTTAAGATGCATATTAAAGTAATAAATATTGTCAAATAATACTGCAGTTTCTGAGATTTTTTAGAAAATACTTTATGAAAATACTTTATGAATTAGTAAAGTCCTATCCAAATTTGAAAATGGCATCAAAATTATTCCTAATAATTCCTGTTTCTCTTGCATCTGGAGAAAGGAATTTCAGCAAATTTAAAAACATTGAAAATTATTGGCATTCACCATTAGCACGAGAAAACCTACCAATTATGATAATAACATCAACTGAACAAGTTTCGTCTAAGATTATCAATTACGACGCAAGAATGAATTTACTTCGCTGAAAGAAAGAAAAATTCAGTTTTAAACATCGAACATATGGAAATTTAAAACTAGGAAATCAATGTTGTATTTTTAAGTTCAATACATGTAATGTTATCCTTTTTATATTGTTTTATTTGTCTAACCATCAGAAAAATATTTATCCAATCGGGACGCAAATTTGAGCTTCTGTCTCAGGTGACAAGATGTATAAATGAGGCTCTGTCTGTATATCTGCATTATCAGTAAATCTTAAAGAAATTCTTCTTTATCCTCTCCACGGTCATTTCCATCCAAAATGTAAGTACTATTTAAGCCAAGCTCGTATCTCGACGAGGAAATAATTTTCCAAGAACTTCGTTCAGAAGAGAAATTTACCTTTAAGCGGTTCAAAACGGTAATGCGAGGTTATTACAATCCTGCAGTCCGAATGGGCGGCTTGTTCGGTCGAGTACCGACGCCCATATCTCACGTTGGACAGCCGGGCTACACGTTATACTCAGGTAACTCTGCTTGAAATCACATCGTAACTGTCTCATTTCTCTGTTCGCCTGAAATTTCATCAATTGCTACAATCTCCAATACTTGAATGCCAAATAGAATCCCTCGGTAACATTTTTATGGACCAAAATATGACATCATAAAAGTAATCTAATCATTAAGAATAACAATAAAAAAAGAGCGGAAACACGGCGTCAAACGCTCGCAATTAACAACGAGGATACAAAGCGGTCGAGCCAGCCTCATAAAACGTACCCCCCAGTTCGAGCTCCGGTCCGTTTACGCGGAATATTACGAAGAAGACAAAGTCCTACCGAAGGTATATTTCCACGAAAGAAAAAAAGAAACGAGCAAAATCTCCAGAGGTAAGGGCGATATTGCGGTGTTATTACGATCCAACAGTCGTATTTTTCTCTCGGGAAGAGGCCACGGCCGGCAAACCATATCTCACACGTTGGGCAGCTCGGCAGCCAAGAAGTTGCTCACAAGGAGAGGGTACATCAATCGAGTTGTTGATTTTAAGGAGCTTTATGCAGGTAAATCTAAAGCCAAATCAAGTAGACACGTATCGGACACGCATTCAAATGGGTCTTTTATTTTTCGAGTTATCGCCATTTAAAATTTCTCAGATATCTAAATGTTTCGAATGTACTTTAACACGTTAACCGCCACGTCAGCCATATTCGGGTGACATAGCAGTCAAATAAAATGCGCGTGGCAGTCAACATGTTAAAGGTGAACCAGAAGACACGAGCGTCAGTTGCAATGGATGGTATCTGATGGTATTTGCTAGATCCTGTGTTCGATCAGGTACCTTTTCTCCAACTTCCTTCCAACGATCATCAAAAATAAATATTAACAGATTTTTGGCACTTAAACATTCCACAATAACTTAACATTAGCGTATTCGAATGTTGCCGAGTCGCCGTATATGTTAACGAAAAGCAAATACCCGATTTAGCATGCACGCCGTAGAAGCTCTACCTACTTTACTAGCTGTAACTTTTGTCTGCTGGTTTACCCTTAAAATATATTCGACACGTTTAGATATCTACAACATTTTAAATACTGATACCTCGAAAAATATGTCCCATTGAAATAATGCTCGGACGCGTGTCTCCTTATTTTGGCTCTAGATTAACCTGTACAAAACTCATGAAAATCCCTAAACCGCTTTAATACGACCTCTCCTTGTCCGAAGTACTATCGGCGCGACATCGCTGCAACTTTTCCATCGAAATGACGGATCGGGACGGCGTAATACATAGTAAAATTCTACCAGAAATTTATTCCATATACATATTTCTCTATTGACCGTAATTTAATCAGAACCTATCGCTAAATCGAGGAAGTCGATGAATGAGTCGCGATTCGACATTACCCGAAGAAATTCGAGAGGAAGGCTACGTAGGCGCAGGCAAGGCGCCTCGACGGACCACCTAGCGAACGGCCTCGTCCTCGGGGCAGATCCACAATTAACAGGGTGCCCATTACGCGTCGCGACTGCGGCAGATTACCGCACGGTGCTTATTATCAAATAGACACGCTCGCGCGCTCCCACGTAGTGCCAGAGAGAACGCGAGTAAAGGGCTTCGCGCAGACATAATGGGAATCTCAGCGCAGGCATTTGCTTACGGAAGAGCCGAATTACAATTAGTACGCCCGTTACCAATCGCCATCGACATGCATCATTAATCGCATATATCAAAGTACGTAACCTGGGACCGAAGGAATAAGTCGGCTCGGTAGATGGGCTTCAATTTACCATATGTGACAACCCATGGAACTCCGTAACGAGCGTCATATGCTAATCAGCTCGGAACACTTATCAAATAATTGACGCAAAATCTAGCTGCACTTAAAAAAGTGAGTCCGGTTAAAAGAACCAGAATTCCGGTTATTTTAACTGGATTAGGTGGTTTAACGTGCTCTTACTATTTTTCTAGTTAAACGTCCTGGATATTTCCAGTGAAATATTATCTGGTTGAGTTAATACCTTTTCTGGAAAATCCAATGAGAATGTCTGGGTGGACGAACAAGAGTTCTCCACTGGAAATTTATCTAGTAGTTTAGGAATCCGAGTAAGGTAACCATATATTCGATCAGGTTTCGGTAATCAGAATTTTCTAGTCGTATTAATCTTTCTCATTAACGATAACTAGAGATCTTTTAATCAGGCGCGTCAAGTAAAAATAACCGAAACATTATTTTAAGAGCACCGTTTCTCTTGCTCGGGTTCCAGAGTACCGCGACCGTACGTGCTACTGAATATTGAAAAACATACAATTTGCAAAAACACGTACGCTGACGCGACGAAATTCAAGTACCCCGATTGCCGCTTTTACATCCTCTATTTAATAATAACAGAAAATGTAACGAAGAAGTAAGGAGCAAACGTAACGCGGTATCGAGTGTACCTACCGAGGGGTTATTCACTCAGGAAGTCATGGACTGTCATGCTGGAAATCACGTGGAAATCAGCTGCTAATCGTAAGCAAAAATCACCAGAAATCACTGGAAATCGTTGGAAATCACCGACACATTCTCACAATTTTAAAGTCGAACGTCACTTGTTACCGAATCTCATTGTTGTTTATCATATGAAATCAAAGACAGTCGGTTCTCAAAGAAGGAAATCGCTTTCACTGATTTCCGAGTGAATAGTCCCTGAGTACCTACGTCTGTTGCACCGGCATGGAGTAATACCAACTTCTCTCCAGTAGCTTCGACGGACTCGCGGAGTCCGGCGAGTCGAAGCGGACAGAGAACGAAAGAAAACAACGGAAAGGAAAAGGAGGAGACGAGACTTACCAAGACGTCCTGCAGTAGCTCGTGCTCGTCGAGGAGGATCACCTTGCAGCGCAGTAGTCGAGGACGACGTCTACCCGTGGGCCTGAGTCCCGGACACAGCCATTCGACGACCATTGCTCCCTTTGGGGTCCCCCCTGGGTTTCGGTCCCCGTTTCCCGAGGGCGTCCCTCCGCGGAGGCGCGGTCAGAAGCTGCCCCCTCGGCTGCCGCCTCCGCTCATCCTGAAACCCGTCGGAACGCCAGTAATCCAATCAGTGTCCTACGGAGTCGTAACGGGCTACCGTTAAGGCGCGAGCATATACGCCTAGGGACCCGTTAAAGGCGCGCGTATGTGCCTTTGCGCTCGATATATACCCCGGGACGTGAGAAGTCGAAGCCGCGAGAGAAAGGCTGAATCGTCCGGCACGACGTGGGGCGACCTCGAAGCGCTTAAGGGACGAGCTTCGAACGCTTCCAACGCGCCCACAGGAAGGGACGAGTCGCACCATACGCGACTCTTCGTGGTACGAGCTACGCGATTGTGCGGGCTATCCGGTATCGCCAACGAGTCACGTTCTCACCTCGAAAATTAGAAAGAACTTCTCGTAAAAGCATCTCTGACCGGATACTCGACGTTTGGAATTAAAAAGTATGAACTGCCAGATGGAGGCGGACGCTCTTAATTTTTTAAATCACGAATTTGAGGGTAATAAAGGTAATAAGGGGTGATAACGTGATCAGGGGTAGGGTTTTTTTTTTATACTTAGCTATATGGGGATGATCATCGTTCCGTAATTTTCAGATAAATTTACTTAGGATTTATTCCATTTTTACCGCAAATTTTGCGATTTTTCGACATTTCTTAATGTTCTACATCCAGTACTCAATTTAAGGCGAGCTTCAAATACGCCCACCAGAGGAACAGGTTGAACGGAATATGGCTTGTTTGTGGTACACATTCCGCAATTGCGAATCCTGCCCGATACCGTCAAAGAATCGCGTTCTCGTCGTGAATGTCCAAATGATTTTCCGATTTTCCATACGTACTTCCGCCGGGTGCACCCGAGATTGGGAACAAATAATCACGAGCTTTAAAAATCGCATGTATGGCAATTATAAAGGGTGGTAACGTGACAAGAAACCAGAAATTCTTGTAATTTTGCAACAAATTTGTTCAAATCCATACTCATACCTCACTTTCAGCGTTAAAAGACGTCTTCTAGCGCTACTAGTGAGGTACAAGGAGGAGCCTTAGGGTTTATTTTACGTCAACTGGAAATTTTGGGATGTTTCGATATATCTTGATCCTCTAAGTTCGATCCTCAATTTAAGAAACGAGGTTCAAATATGATCCGAAACGACAGGTTAGACGAAAAGCGACTCCTTTGCGGCATATGTCGCGCAATTGCGTGACCCGATCACCAAAAAGAATCTCGAGCTCTCGCCTCAAAGATCCACGAGATCTTAATGTATTACACCCCCACCCAGGCATATTCGTTTCGATCGGACGGGACGCAATCTTGCGAAGTGGAGTTGGACATTCTTGATAACTATATGGGTATCGCGATATGGGAATCGGGCCGAGTGCGGTATAAATTCCAGCTACGTTTCGTAATTTTGTAATGGGTTTTATACTTTATTTACCGTGAAGCCAGTACGTAGCTATATTTCGACGTGGTGCATTCCCGACGTCACGTATACACGTGTAGCGTAAAGTGAGATTTTTCGAATACTCCTTTGACTATCTCGCGTTCCAGTAGAACGATCTCTTATCCCCCGCTATCTGGTGGTACGGCATACAGTCTACATACCTCGCAATTAAAAATACTCTCCCAATAAAAGTACTCTCGAAGGCACGGATCGAATGGCTTTGCCCCCTGGTTTGCGGCACAAAACCGAGGCGTCAAATCGAGACCGATTAATCTTGCGGTCGCCGATCGAACTGCTCGATAATCTAACGGTACCGAACGAGGGAAGCTCATATCCCGAACGAGCAGCTCGTTCGGTAAGGCTCCAAACGGCGTCAGCTAAAATCGCGCCAAGGATAATGAAAGAACGGGCTTTAATTGCTTTCACGGAAGGTGTTTCACGACCGGCCGTAATTCATTAACCTATGGTGACGCGAGTTTTGCATGCGACATGCTCACCTCGCGTGTCAGCGCGGAAGGATCCAAATTAAATAGCGGGCACGATGGAATCGCCCCGGCATTAATTTCCCGGGACTTCGCGACGGCCTTAAATCCCCCTTGTGAACCGGTGGCGTAAAGTTGTCAACCGAGGAAACGGTCGAGAGCGACTTTGCGGGACGCCGCAGGTTTGCCGAGAAAAATGATCCACTTAGAGCTCCCAGATTTTTCTCGTCGAATCAACTTCGAGTCGGCCAAGAAGGATCGAAACTCGCTTTTCAAAGTCTCTATTTAACCGCAAACAAAAGTTGATACGGATCTCTCCCGTTATTTACCTCAATAAATTGAATTCAAACCGATTGAATAATTTCAGTCGCCAAATACCGTCGAAACGGGTCAATCGGGTTTAATCAAATATGTCATTTAGCCGATACCCATCTGCTTCGATGAGATTTAATTGCGTCAAACGGACCTACCGTTGAGTCGGAATTTAATGGAATCGGGTTCAAAGGACATTTTCCGTGACAGAAGCCAGAGTGGACATTTTACGCAATTTTATCGAAGCTTATTCCAGATAAATCGACTCGTCTACCGTAGTTGGTGTCCCCAGCAGTAGCCGACATTATGTAGAAAAATACAGAAAAATCAATTTTGATTAAACGTCATGGGAGTGCAAGCAGAGCGAAATGCGCGAGTAAGGCGAGTTTTAACCGAAGTCGACACCTTGTAACGGTAAAGACGAGTAGCCGGACGGTGCTCGTAAAATCTTTGAAAAAGAAAAAATCAAATAAAAATAAATGCAAGTAGGAAGTACGAGCAGCCGATAACGCCTCGCGAGGATGAAATAAATTTGTCGGGCGCTGATTAGCGAACGGTCGAAAACGAGTCGCGCTCGCCGCGTCCGCGGCAATCCGCGTAAAAAGCGACTTCCTCGCGGTTATCCTCTTTGAGTTCTTTCGGGCCATACGTGCCCGGAATTCGCATCGGGGGGCGCGAATTCCCAGGGAATTTGCGCTTCGAGAGCGATTCCATTGACCCTGCTAATTACTTTCGATCCGTCCTCGTTGACACGCGAGGCACGCGTGTCGCGTGCGAACGCACGACTCGCCGTTCCGTCATCATTGAAACTACGAACTTGTTTGGCGACAATATATCAAACATTACTGCACGGCAGTGGACTGGTACAATTAACGGAAATAAAAGAAAGGGAGAAAAAGTGCCAAATAGTCCCCGGCGATTGAGCGGTAACACGCGATTTAGGCCCCACCGTAAGAATGGTACCATTATTCTCGATGCCGAGAGTTGTAAATTATTTCAAGGCGGAGTGCACGCGAGTAATACTTGTGCTCAAAGTAATAAGAGTGAATGATAAGTTACTCGGTGTTTCTAAATTATGTAGCCGAGTCCACTCCGCGAAGATTCCACTCTGTAGGGCAGCGTTCGCGGTCACGGAGCTTCGATTTCCTCGAGAAGCAATAAACAACGGGGGAGTAATTAACACGGCCGGCTCCGTTAACCATGATGGTATTAGGCATTACCAAAACGATTTCGTAATAATTCAAAGTCTCGTACAATGCAATAAACGTCTGCCTCTCCGCATCCTATTATCTTCACTTGCATCGTAAATACGTGTCACTTAAACCCATAACCGAAGCCCGGATTATATCCGCGGAATACGTTCTCCCGCTCTCCTCTCGTACAGGGGTGTGCATTTGCATCTATGTCTTCTCGAATAAAGGAAACCGAACGGCTACCTAGTGGCAGTCAATTATTCGGTTGCTGGCAAATAAACGCCCTGTTGGACATGGACTTCTAAACTCCGGGTAAAATAAAGAAAAAAATTACTGAAAGAGCCAACCCGTGGAAAAAGTGAACCAAAAATATATGTTAAATTTCAATGATTTCAATCAAATTAATTAAGTGCTCGATATCAACTTTTTTAGGCGTAGAGGTGGGTAATTATGTGGTTACTAATAAACAGATACCTCGCCGAACACAAACTCCTGAAACGATAAATTGAAGAAAAATATCTAAAAGAACGACCCCATAAAGAAAACAAAGTAAAAAAAATATATTAGACTCAATTGACTTTAGTAAGACTTAATTAATAACCCAATATCAAACTGTTTGACTTCGAAAAATAATAAGAAATCAATATTCGAAAAAGTTGCACGACAACAAATTCCTTTAACATTTTTTAAATCGACCAAGGGCCCAGAACGCCTTCGGGCGAATCGTTACATTTTTTTCTACACGTATGTGCTCGTCGTACAGCGGCAAACTGTTGAAAAAGGATAACGGCGAAGGTATTCTCCCCCTTGTTCATCGGCTATTTGCTTAGCAACGCTGTCGATCAGGCCGTCAGTGGGAGTAAAAAGTCGCGTGCGCGACATTGTCCACCTCGCAATATATCAAGTCGGGAAAGAATGTTTCCACGTCCCTCGAATCACTGGCGAAATAAATGGCTCGCGCTTTGCATTCTCCGGAGGAGTTTTGAATAGCCCGCGCTTCTAGCGGAATCACCTCCGATTTCGACAACCGAAGAAATCACTCTGTGACGCCCGTTACTCCGGACTGCCCAGATTTTTGGCCAATTGCCGCCCAGCCCGAACTCGTGCTCCCTTTCCGGTTTCTTCCCTCTTCCTTGGCGAGCCTACGTTAATGAAAGTGGCGACACGGAACTTCCATTTTATATTCGAGAAGAGAAAAGAAAAACGTCTTTTCAACGCTGCAGGTGTTGCGCGCACACTGTCAGAATTGGGAGATGTCTTACTTAAGATTTTTTACTTCCTCTCCTCGAAGCTGACTTGAAAAAGAACGATTACGCCGAAAAAGAATCCCACGATATAATAATTTGCATTATAATTTAACCCGAGACAATCGGAGATTGTGCGAGGGTGTCAGAGATGTGCAAACGAAGGAACACCAAATGTAAAAATTCGAAGTTCCATTCGTCTGAGAAATTGGAATTTTACATTCGCGCAACTGTAATCGCTGATTCTAACCGTAAATTAACGGCGTGAAATCAATAACATTTCTACGAATGGCAAACCGTGTGTCTCTTAATTGCTATTCCGGTATACGGAACCTTCTTGTGATGCGTGGGACTCTGGTCTCACGACCAGAAGACATCTCTAAAAAGACAAATGGGATGCGGATCTTAGTTTCAACGTGACGGTACTTAAGCCTTATTTATTTATTTATATGCATTGCAATTGAAAAGTCCGGCTATCACAGATCCATTATTGGAATTGCATGGAAATGTTTCGATAGCCTGAAATACATTATATTCTCGAAGAACCCCGGTATTAAACTTAACACGTTCCGTTCCACGTGTATCACCGTGGTACGCGGTAAAGTCAGCTGGTACACGGCGTGGCACGGAACATGTTAAGAAGAATCGACATCCGAAGTTTTGAAGCGTGAAAAAAAAACATGTTTTTGGGTATGTTGTCCTTCTGCATGTTAACCATTTATGTTGACACGATTCCGTGTCCTATTTCATTCAAGCCTTAAACTCCCATTAACGAAGGAATATCTCGAGTAGAGCCAATAAATATCCAAGTCAAATTCGAAATTGGTTTCCATTCATATCTCCCGAACTATCGTTGATGTGTGGCAAAAGAATGAATTATTCTCGTTTATCGCATATTCTCCTTAAATAAGAAATTGCGAATTTACTCAACTTAAGGAACCTATTAGGGAATATTATGTATACGAATGAAAAAGAGATTTATGAAGCAAGTGAAGAGTACTAAGACTCTCCCGATTGAAAATGATAGCCGTAATAGCACCGTCAAATAGTGTCTCATAAACGACATGGGTTCCTTTAAAGACTTCATTTTGTTTATTTACATTTATGTACTCATGTCGAGGGATTCCTAAGACACTTTATGCGCCGCTAAAGCAAGGCAAAACGTGAATTAACTAAATTTTTGTATACCCCTCTTGTAATGTGACATTAAAGTCTTGCATTACTTTTTTCTTTGCGAAGTCAAGGACACTTTAGGTCGAGTTGAAACTTACTTTAAATAATCATTATTTGCGCAGAAAATATTATCTGCCTACATTTTAATTTTATTAATGTCTTTTCTTGCGCATTAATTTATGGCAGTAATTTTACATGTGATATTCCGTACGTAAATGACCTGCAAATGACGTCATTTTTGTTCTTGATCCCATATTAGGGATGAATACTTTTCTCCGTGAAACAATTTGCCGAGCGCGAGATTACCGGTGAATCCAGTAAAACCGGAAATCCAGAAAAAACCGAATGTCTGATAACTGTCTAAATTGTTATTTTTCCCATCGTGCCGGTTTTGCGGGATTTGTCGTATTGCTGTTCATGATAGCAAAACGTTTATCAGCGAATATTTTACCGGCAAACGTGCCCACCCCGAATTTAGATATGCTATTCCAACTACATTGGTAGATTAGTAATTTCACGCTGCAGTGACTAGTAAATCAGTGTTACGAAATGGCAATCAAACGATGGCTCGAATGCTAATTGCACAGCTGTAAAGATACAGAGAATATAAAACGGTAACTAAATGCGCATGCAGTAATATAAGACAAAATGACGAGAAGAACCTGACAAGATCCTGGCACAGAGTTTGCCGCATCATCTTAGTGTTGATGCGCAAAGACCGGAATCACACCGATTACATTTTAACGACCAAGATTACAGAAATCTATAATTCCATAAAATATTCACCTAGATCCGTCTTATTAAAAAAAGTATATTTACATTTCCTGTTCCCGTTTCTTTGCTAATATACAAATTCATTACAGGAGATTCGTAAAAGAAAGTATTTTCAAATAGTTGAAACAAAAATTATAGGTAGAAACAATTTTTTATCAAATTTAACCAAAGTTTATCACATTCTTGTATTCCTCATAACAGGTTTCTTCATTCCTCATAACATCATCTTAATGCTCTTCATTTCGATTATTCGCCCTTGACAATGATTAATTCCTTTTTAACTCAAACATCACGACGAAGTAGATGTCTAAAAACAGATAAAAACACCTTATGCTCTCTTCTATTATCTCTGGCAGGTGATAAAAACTGATTAATTATTTTCATCGGTTGAGGGCATTTCTGCGCTGCACTTTGCGATGCTGTAGATCGTTCGTGAATACGGACTGGCTTAAGGGTACGATTTGCAAATATGCATATGAATGCAAGGCAGCTGGAGGATTTACGAGAGCGGCGGGATACGCTTTGGTCGTATCGTTTGAAAATGATCGGTCGTAATCGGAACGGCGATTCATTGGTTTCTAAAACGAATCTGAGTACTCTGCTACTTAAATGATCTCCGGACTTCTTTTTGTCTCCTATTTGTAAATCGGTCGACCGTAAATATTTACAAAAAACATTTTATAATCGTTTAAATGATTAATGAATATGTGTACAAATATTTTGACGTCTATAATTCGCTGTTTGCAATAAGAGATTGTCATATTCATTATAAAGAGAAAGAAGATTTTGACATTTTAAGTTAGAGCTAAGGAAAATTTATCGCTGAATTAATCGAAATCTTCAACCGCCTATAGAAAAATAAATTTTAAAATCCCGTAAAGGTTTATGCGCCTTCATGTCGGATAAAAAAAAATTACTTAAGCCGGTCGAGGGAGAATTAAGAAATCGATATATGAAGATATCGAACCCTTGGCATTAATTTCCTCTCTGTAGCGGCGAAAAATTATTCATCCGGAATTAATTAAGGCACTAAGTGTTAATTCGCCATATTGTAAAGCTAATTGAACGCCTTCGATGTCGATAATTAAGGCAGGCAATTTCACGACAGTTATTGGATAACGTATTCCGTTTTCCGCGCACTTTTCTCAGAATCTCCGTATTATTGATCTGCAATCCCGCGAATCACGGACCAACCCTGTGCGCAAAACTTAAACCGCCATTGAAACCTATAACTACAAAACTATAAACGTTACAACTAATCTTCCGCAGTTCTCCAAACGTTCGGTTATTAAACATTTTTGAAAGAAAAGTAAAACTTCGTACACCCTAAAATTCTCAAGTAAATTCGCCCGACGTTCCCGCGATATCGACAACGGCAGCATAAATATTTATTAAGATCGCGATCAAACGAACCCACACTCCGCGAAGTGCAAAGCACTCAGTCCCGAAAAGGAAAGAACTCAGCGGCCGAAACCGATCTCCAGGATCCAGAACCACTTCCCACCTCAATTATCGACAGATCGATGACTAGCAGAGACATATCGCTTCGAGCTAATCATCGCCATTAGCGCGGTCTCCCGTGCGCGATACAAGGGAACGCATCGGACATACGAACCTCTTCGAGGGTCCCGGATAAGGTCGATCGATCACCCGAGACAGATCCTTCCCCGATGTGTCATCGCCCGGCGCGGCGCTCGAGAATTCCGCCGAGGGTCCTCCGGGTCGGTCACCAGCGACCGGGGTGTCCCAGGGGGTCGGCGATCCTCGACATGTCGGTGCTCCTCTCGGCGACGACTTCTGGGAAGGCGCGCGGCGCCCGCGGACCAAGGGACAGGGCCGATCGGGCCTCGACGAGGAACGCCGCCGATGTGCGCCTTGGGCGTCCCGTGGGAGAGCGAGTACCTCGTACGCCGCGCGACTCTACGCGACTCTGCGCGCCAAGGCGAGCGGAGCGAGCGACGCCAACTTCGGGGCAGCCGCTTGGCTCGGAGCGGACTGAGCCGAGCCAACCGGAGGATTCGGATACGCCGCGGCTCTACCTCGTCCGCCTTCCTTTCCTTCCCGTTCCTTCCCGTTCCTTCCCGTTCCTTCCCTTCTCTCTGCCTTTCCTTCGCCGCGCGCTCCGTCTCGCTCGCTCACGCGGGCTCCTCGTAGCGCGCGCTCCGTCGATCGCGATTGCGCGCCCAGTGCCGGAACCCGCCGTTGCCCGTCGGGGCGCTCGCGGCCGATTAGAGCGAAGCGGTTCCAACCCTTTGGCGCCGAACCGAGCCGAGCTTTCGAGCAACACGTAGCTTTAATTGGCTCGACTGCGCGTCCACGTGAACGAAACCATTAATCTAGCCGGGTGAATTGAGCTAATTGTTAAACCGATCGGCCACCGGGGACCTATGAATCATCTAATCGGCAGGGTGGACGGAAGCGAAGAATTAGGCGATTCAACCGCGAGCGGATTCGAATTGCACCGTTCATTTAGTTAAATGAAATAAATTAATGTTATGGCAAATTGAATACTCAACCTCTGCAAGACTCGTCCTGGTGAAACCGGAAAAGGCCGCAGAGGTGCCGGAAAATAATTGGAGCTGAAAAATCTCCGAACATCGGTCACGTAGTTCCCTCCCCCATAGCTGCTATCCGTGGATCAAGGGGTAAAATCTTCCTTGCGATTTTGCTTTCTTACCACGAATCGAGAAGACGCGGAACTAATGGTACCGAGAGATAAAGTCTTGCCGATACGACGAGCGATAACATCCCAACGACCTCTTCCTTTGAATGGAGACAAGTAGAAACGGCTTCCGAAAATTCAGAAAAACAAGGCAATATCTCAAGACATCCACCGCGATCTGCGAACATTTGCAAATGATACAGTATTTCGATATAAGCGATCACGTAATTTGATGTAACCATCGGGTGAACGATTCTTTTGGTTCAAATTCTTGGTCAATTCTCCTTACATCCCAAAACACGGTGTCGCGAATGTTATTCAGTTTATTTGAGTCCTTTCGATGTTTATCTTAACTCGGTCGTTAAATCAAGTGGCCATTACAGAATTTCATTGCTTAGCGTTAGTCCTCGTTGAGAGCTGAATGAAATCGGCGTAAGGACCCGTCGACGTTAGATACGGGGCTGGATGTAAGCACGGCATAGCGAAAAGGTTCGTCACTCTTCCGAACACTAAACTTGCCGTCCTCGGAGGATCGTAGTCCCATGGCAAGCACTAGGTAAGTACCTAATGCCTCGATAGACGCAAGTCGAAAAGGGACGCCTTCTTGAAAAAATATTTCACAGTTCTCAGGGTTACGTGACCGCTTTACCGATACGGATGCCTTCGAGGTCTTGCGCGTCCCTGACAACGTAGCGGTTCTTCCTGAGTACCCTATTCAATGTATCCTGTCTACGGGGAGAGTTACGTTACGTCTTATCTATAAGAAAATTATTTTAAAACAGTTTCATATAATGTCTCATACCGTTCCCATTTCGTGATTAGCTTCTCACTGTGTTGGCGTCTGCTCACGATATTGGTGTAACTAACACGGATCCATCCTGTACGCATCTGTACTTTATGGCTCGAAACTGAAATCAGTCTAGTCACTGCAGATGAACTCTCTTCATTGTAAGATATCCATAAAAATGTCTGGCTTGGTCTGTAGAATTCGTTAAGTGCTCCCGGGGGCCCTTTTCGTCTGACCGGAGTTTCGATTTTCGTGTTGATTTTTTTTGTGGTTACGCTTCACCCCTATGCACGCCTCGGCATATTCATCTCTTGGTACAAACGTTTGGTTTGGACGGTAGAATGTTTTAAGTGCCCCCGCAGGCTATCCTTCGATCTTTCGTGTATCGCTCGGGGTTTCGATATTCGTGCCGATTCTTTTGTAGTCACGCATCATTCCCGTGTACGTTCCCGCGTATTTATCTCGGCCTACGAACGTCTGATTTGCTGGCTGGAATTTCTTAAGTGCTCGCAACGATCGGTTTTCGTGGCATCGTTCGGATCCCCCTGACGCGGATGATTTTATCCTTGGCCCTTTTCAGCGCGTTCTATCACTCCTTATAATTACCTTCCCTTAAAATAATGAAATGTATAATTGTACCTATATCGTAGTACCCTTTAGAAAGTCAATCAACCACAATGTTTAACATCTTCTAATTATGAGGTTTTTAAAAATCCTGGAAATGGATTAAATAAAATCAAACGTGTACATTGTATTTACAAAAATTTATTTTCGTAATTTTTGTCACTAATTGTTGTATCTTGGATTTTTCAGTAATGGAAGGCTTCCATTTATACGGAAAGTAATGCTTGCGCAAGATGTAGAAAAAATTAAAGCACACGTACAATTGTATAACATTTTATTACCGCTAGTCGGTATCTCAGAAAGTTTTAGTATGTCATCGATTGTCTATCGGTACATGTTAGTAGAAGCTGGTAGAAGATACTTTACGTGTAGAGCTCTACGTTATCAACTCATTCGCTTTTTGATTCACTGAGTACTGTTAGCAGCCGTGGTGGCAGCACTTGACCGAAAATTACAAAGTTTAAACTGTAGGTATCTTCATCTCTAGTATCTTTCTCTTCTCTCTGTAATTACAAAATATTTCATTGCAAAAGAAGTAAAAAGAATTCTGTCACATCAATCAATAGTTGCATTACCTATTTACACGATAAATGAGTAGCAGAGTAGGAAATAATAAAAATTATGACAGTGTACCTAACCTAGGGAAAATTCGAATCGGGATGCGCATCGGAAGTTCTCGTTGCTTCGTTGGCAGCCATGATCCATGGGATTGTGTGTATATTTCTCAAAGCACTATAATATCATTATTGACAGTTTTGTGATTTCTACGTCGCTAAAAAGTGCAATCTGACAAGGAAATGTCATTTTCGTGATGCTGATAAACTGTTCTCAGTCCATATTTGTGAATCACCTCTAACATTGAGTGTCGACGTGTAAAATGGCGTGGTTCGGAGATGGGCTCTCGAGCTTGTCTAATTTAAAAGGACAAATTACTAACTTTACGAAGGAAATACTTCCGGAAAGCATTTCCGAGGATATAGGTAATGTATTGTTTTGTTGTCTTAAAATTTGAGGAAACAATTCTGTGTTTCCTGCCGCTACAAAGTTAGGTTACTTACGGTTGTCAAATGAGATCTGTTTTACCAACGTGGCGATGCTATGTCACGAGTGCGCGCGGGAATTTTAACATTCTATCAAACAAGATTATTCTGTTATAATAGAAATAATTGTTACGATCTTGTTAGCTATCTAATAATAGTTTTGACTCCATAATTTTATTAAGATTGTATAATTCAAACTATTTTACAAAAAAAATATGGTACTTTGAATTTTAGGTGAACGGTCGAGGAATTCAAATGATGCGAGTGAAAAATGTACCCAACTTCAAGAAATAATTGATTCCAAAGATGCCGAAGTAAGTACCATAGTTTAGTTACAAGTTCATGAAATGTAGAACCTAATGCACCATGCCAATGTGATAATAGTGTGATTTGTTTAAAATTAATTTCAATTAAAAAAAACGAGCAAGGACCCTGGGTATATAANTATTTACATATTAAACACAGAAATGTATATTTAACAACTAAGATTGAAAGATCAAGTGATCACATAACTGTTTGGATGAAATCATCTGCATTACTAGAAAGGCTTCTTTAAAAGGCTTATAATCTTAACCCCTTTTTGTGGAACAAATGACATATGTGCAGATAAAAGCTCTCTGATTAAAGAACTGTATGCTTAAAGATATTTTAACAGATGGTGTTTTCTGTATTAGCCCTAACTACATGAAGCCCAAACAAGCTATTCTTTTATCAGCTATAAGTCATTACTCAAGTTTCACAACCTTCCTCATAAGTTTCATTTATAAATATACAGGGTGTAGAGTGAATATTTATTTTCTCTATTCATACCACACAGATTGAAAATTGAAGACGCAATGTACAAACTAAAATCGTCAGAAATTTCTTATTCACGTTTATGTAATTACTCCATTTTATAATTTGTTAATATATTGTAGTTATTGTATATCATATACGGTTTATAAGTATTTTACAAAGCACTGCGGCCTTCAAACATGTATGATGAACGGTAACTGCCGTAAAATATCATGTCTTTTACGTACTAGTGTAAAAAAAGTGTCCTTGAAACACTGTAACATATAATTGCTAGCCATGACGAAAGAAGACTAAGTGCTTAGGAATACTGTCATTAGGTAGAGTAGGGGGAATAATGTCATAGGGAATACCAATAAATAGTGTTATTATACACTGGTCATATAAACAATTATATTATCGAATTATACTCCCCAAATGTTTTTTATTGTATTCGGAAACCATTTGTATTTGCAAATAAGTTACGAGTTTAGCAATTGCAAAAGTGTTTGAAGAAGAGAGTTGCAATCAAGCGAAAGTAGTCTTACAATCTACCAGAGTATAGACTCGTACAATTACGTATGATAACCGTCGTATTACACATAAAGACCGTTACATGAAAGCTATTAACATCGTTTGCGAAAATACCACTTAAACCAACAGTAGCTGCAGCTATTTTTGTGACGTGATTCATCGTGAATGAATATTCTATGAACGTACGCTTTACAGTTTGGACTCTGAGAGAGCATGCCTTTACCGAATTGGTTTTAAACTTTAATGGCGGACTGTCTATATCGAGACGAGATTAGCGTTAACGTCGTCCCTCACCTGAGCTTTCGATAAGATTTGTTTACAAGATAAGGAAGAACCTCGAACAGTTTCATTTCTGACTGCAGTTGAAGCGAACAATTCCTGCTTCATATGTTATAATAGCTGAAAATGTTCGAAGTATCATACCCTGAATAGCAAAAGTGTATATCTGCAAACATTATTCACATTACGTATATGTACATCAACTGGTATAAATACTGTTACGACAGAAAGTTCTCTTTATTTTAATCGACGTGCACAAACGCGGTTGCACCTGCCGTTTCTAACAAGGAAGTAATATCAAAGGGAGTTAATTTGAACAGAGATAATGGCATTGTGGGTCATTGTGTTTTCCGGTTTATTATCACAGACCCAGTCGTTATCGTACTAACGATACGGATAAAATTAAACTGGAAAGGTAGGTAAAAAAACGGTTCTTTCAGTCAATTCGAGCCATGCTTACTGATAGGCAGTCTTAAAGGTTTCGGTTCATTTAAACAATTTATATACAGAATTCTTGTTTCTACCTTATCAGGTAATTATTTGAAGCATGAAATGGTAGAAACTTAAGAAATATACATGCTATTCAATTAAAAAAATAAGGAAAATAACGTTAAGGTAAAAACTATCATTAAGGGGTTAGAAATATCTTGTAGTTTTCTATTAAACATTCTTTAGTTTTTGGAGAAAAATTTGACCACAAGGGACGATCTGCGGGGGTTTGGGATGGCTTGGGTTGGTTTAGGTCACAGACGGCGGTCGTCGTACTTTCGTCGAGGGGTGAAAACGAGAGATCGGTCGGTAAAGTGGAGGACGACCGGTTATCGTTAAACAAACAGATAAGGCATGCAAACAGAACGCACGTCGCAGGGCCCCAGAACTCCACCGGACTTCCTCTTGATTATAGATACCAATATTTAAGCCAGTGACGCGAACATTATTATTTATCTCTACCTGTGATTTGTCCATTTTGTCAACTCTTTCGGTTCTCCGTGGGGCGTTAAGGGGAACGGAAGTTAAAACTCGTTCAGTTTTCCAAATGCGCATGCCGAACAGGTTTTGCCATTCACGGGCTGTCTTGACCAAGTTCTTGTTTATAGACGAGGAAAATGACTTTTTCTCGAAATAACTCTTTGGAAAAACATTTCTCTCACATGCAGTTAATTTCTTGTTTACAGATCTCGTTGCTGCGCCAGCAAAACTCCGATCTGCAAAGAACCGTCGTGGAGTTGAATACGAGATTGCAGGAGACGGTAAGTTTTCAAACATGACAATTCATGCTAATGCACGGAACTTGTGACCGATAAAAATAACTTTTCAAATGCAACGTCAAAACAACTTGCAATGTAACCCGACTGACGCCCCGAAACGTTCTGCTCCTTTTTGTAACATGTACATGAGGGAAGTCGAACGGGAGTATACGTGTTCTCTTTACACCAGCTGTCATACTTGCTGAAAGGCTGAAATCATTCAACATGATTTTTTAAAAACGTCATTAAAAAATAAATCGAACAAATTAACAAACAAGGAAGAATGACTTATAATATTAAAGAAATTTTCAGAATTTGTTTGACACGTTATGCTGCCAATAATTCAAGGGTACATTCATAGAGAAACAACTTTGTTTGAATATAATTTAACGTAGAAATAATGTAGAGAAAGAAATAGAAATTAGTTTTACTCGAAAGATTGCTGTTATTACATCCTCCCTCGCTCTCTATGAGTGGAAGTTGACGTTAATACTCGATCCGACACTCTTTGCTCAATCCAGCAGTTACCCAGGCAACCCATGAAATGGAATATACGTAAATTAATCGTTTAAATTAGGTCTGTAGGTATAGAAAATGTATATCGTCTATTATCCACCTAAAAAAATATCTAGAGGATTTATATAAATACCTATGTCTGTTGTAGATGAAAATTATGTCCACTATTGATCTACAGATATCTAGTTATTTCGGGACGCATACAAAATATATAATAGCCCTAATAAACATCTACCAAAATTTAATCAACATCGTTGAAAATACGTTTAGAAAAATAAAAAAACAACTCATGTAACCTAACATTTTTCATACATACTTAATGTTTATATCTAAATTCCTACTTAATAAAACTGTTAATTTCGTTCATACTCTTAATTTTTATTTACATCCTCTTTGGCTGGTAACCTTACATCGTGATGTTTTACCGTTGTGTAAATTATGATGTGTTACCAGGCACCGTATGAAATATAATATACTTATAGTGAACGTACAAATTAAGACATAAGTATTGAAAACTTACATTATCTATGGTATGCATAATAAAAATATCCCGTGAATATATATATGTACATCTTTTTCGTGCCTATATTTTCAGTACATATACCATAGAAGTCTAAATAACCTGTATAGAAATCTGAATTTTCGAAAACGTGAAATTGATTGTTTATATTCAGCTTCCACAGACTTATAAGAATGTAGTTGCACTAAAAAATTGCGCACATTTAAATGAAATATCTTTAAATAATATTCATAAAATTCATGCACTTTTAGGATATAAGGTTGTACCAAAATTGTGAGTTTAGTATCTTAAAAGTGAATCGGTATACATTCATTATACACTTTTAAAAAATAAGATGATTTTATAACATACTGTTACAGTTTTTTAAATGACTTAATTTTACAATCACTTACGAGTTTTTTTACGAATAAGTTTACAACAAGATGCAATAAGTATCTTTAGTATCGATCGAGAAATACCGGAACGGTCTTCATAATTCTTAAAAAAATCTGTTCCTTCGAAGGCTTTGATAGCATCATGGTTAGCGTTCCTACTTTCCACCCGTTTGTCTCGGGTTCAAACCCCGACAATTGCAAAAAGGTTTTTCTGTGTCAAATACAGCAGGATTTGTCTGTGTAGGTATATCGAACAAATTCTCAAACAGACTCTCTGCTCATAAAGTGTTATGAATTTAATTTTTGTTTACAAATACATATGAATATCTATAGACCATCTATTGTAGATATCTACGATGTATGTATATATAACGTACCATATCCGGTCATCTAACCTTTGAGTGTATCTAAAATAGAGTTCATAGATATCTATTATATATCTTACATACGTTCAATAAACATTTATACACGATTAATTTACGGATATTCCACGTTCAGTGGTGCCTGGGTACCTCCTATTTGCAACTGCATTTAAGTATTATCACACGTTGAACTTGTCTTACATGACGCGTCCTCTTCGACTTTTTAATAATAAACCACGCATCTGTATTTGGAAGCAATCATGTAAAGTAGCTTCTATATCGGCATAAGCTTCCTCGTGGCATTCCTCAAAGCATGTAGTTCTCCAGGGATTGTCGACGTGTAGAGCACGAAAAAATCTCGACACGCCGGTCGCAGCTGGTATCTCGTGTATCTTGTGGTCTCTTCTTTAAATAATAAAGCAAAGTAAAATCGCGATCGCTCGGCGTGCTTCGACAGGCCGTGATGGTTTGTATGCCGAGAGCCGAGCAACCGGGGCTAATGTGAAACCGTTCAATGTACACTTCCACGAATGTATGTAAATTCGGGGCCTTATGCGGGCCCCGCAGTCCATAAGTTGAAAACAGATGTGTCTCGATCCTGCCATTTTATCAACTGTACCGCCAAGTCTGATCCGATGCTCGAACGTATCGAACTGAAGTTCACGTCCAACTGATCGATTAGTTAAAAAAAATCCCGAACAGAAAAAGAAAAACGTTTAAGTCGCACGTGTAGTACGAAACGGTTGCTTATTATTTATACTTGAATGTCAAAGTCGTTGATAATTTTCTATCGAGAGACACAACGGAGATGAAAATGGTCAGTTTTCTGATATAATATCACTGAATATTTAAGACCACGGTTACATAAGTTTAACACTGCACCAGCGAAGGAGTTCCGAAGTCTACATAGCGTACGTGCCTTTTCTGCAAAATTGCACTACGTGCGAGATAAACATCCTGTTTTGTATGTACACTCGTAACGTGTTTCTGTATTGCCTTGACTCGAAATACCGTAAACTTAGTAGTGTTCCCGATACTTTTTGCAGTTAATGAGAAAGAAAAACGGATATGGGCTCTTCGAGCAATTATCTCTGCATAATGTGGTTGATAAGTAATAATATATTTCTAATGAATACTAAGTGCAGGAACGACCTGGTCGCGATTAATGCAAACCTACATATTCTGCACTTACCTTCTGCTATACATATGCCCGTTGCTCTAATGCTCCTCGTGCATGAATTGTAAAATTATCAAGATTAAGAAAAACTCATATTTTTTATAGTTCTCAAACAGACATTTTAAACTATGCTCCTGGAAAAGGTATGCGAGCCTTTGGAGGGAAATGACATTAATTTCGATGTGTACCGAAGATGGAAGGAAGGTTAGCTAGAAATTCCAGATAAGAGATAAGTAGGCACCTACTATTCCATATCTTGGACCAACAAAGGATCGGCCACGACACTTCCAGTCCAAGCGACGTTCGAAAGTCTCTTCGTCTTCGAGGTTCCTTTGCCGGAGCAATACACACGTAACTAATTCATGCTAACCCGACTATGTTTGACGCTTCATCAGAGCGCATTGTGGCCCAGGCCACCGGATGTGGTCACCACGACTTCCACGACCGAGCTCCTTCTCGGCTTTTAATAACTAATAAGGTGTTATCCGGACCCGAGGGCCGCTGACACGACGGTATGCACCGCTCCCTAGGGAATAATCCTGAATCCCACTGCAAAGACGTTGAACCTCCTCCTAGGGACAGCCATTTATCTTCAAAAAGTAATGCCACAACTTGGAGCAACCGTTTGACGATGTTTTCAAAATAATCAATCTTTATATTTAATATTTAATTGAAAGATCTTTAAGATTTTGCACATAAACGTTAAAGATGATCAACCATTTGTTCTGAGAAGGGTGAGTTTACCGAATGGCACGAATAAGCATATTAAACCTCCGGGACTCCTTGGGTCTTTTTGGGCTTAAATAGTTTTAAGAAATATTTTGATTGTTTTTAAAAGTAAATTTTTCATATTTAATTTTAAACGCTATTGGGTAATGTAGGAGAGATCTTGAAAAGTATCTGAGTTTTTTCCAATTTTTTGAAAAGCTATAATGAAAATAGGGGAAGAGGGGAAGAGGCAAGTAAAGCAGTAAAAATAACGGTGGTCACGGAGGGTTAATAAGTGTTAACTTAAACTGGCATCTTTTTCACGTGAGATCTTTGGTTGCATTCTTTTTCACGAATATAGAAACGCTGAAAAATTGCCTCATTCGGTGGCGGATCCTTATTTCAATATACATTTACATTAAGTCATCTGTCTTATTACTATTATATATCCAGAATTGGTTTCACCGAGCCATCGATAATACTTGGGTAAATTATGTCCATAGAAATAGAAACGAAGGACGCCTGCAATTTGCACAATCGTGAATTTACATAACGGCGCGCTACTTGCGTATTTTGCGCTTCAAAGAAAGTGCACCTCATTACGGAAGGTGTCGTCTTGGGTTACATAACAATAGCAGTAAAAGCTAATCGTACACTGCAGCAAATCCTTCCTTATTTGTACTCGATTCTATTGTATTGGCCAATAATTTCTTTCGCATTTGTGTACGATACCGACATGTCGGATTTCTATGGAGCTCGTTCGTGGAAAATTCTCTCCGAATAGGTAATTTCTCTAATACCATACATACATTATGTATTGGAAATTTAATATCCTTGCTTCCGGTGATAGACCGCACCTTGTACAAGGAAGTCAGACTTTCTGCATTTCAAGAGTTTCTCAAAATCTGATCTCAGCCTGAGGCCACGTATCCTCTGGAATAAGATGAGAAAATCGCATTCTTAAATTATTTAAACGCATTTTTCGATTTCCATACTACATTAATTATTACTACTTCCGGATATTTTATATATTTTATCGACACGTATTTAAACACTTAGGTATAAATAGTATTTTAACAATAATTCTTCTAATGGAAAAAAATGAAAAAGAAAAAGAATGAATTAGCAAACTACCCTTTAACAGCTGCATATGCTTCACGTTTTAAACGATAAGACAGGAAATTGTGATGGGGTAGATAGGGTTGGTTTTCTGTAAAGGCGATAGTGTCTATGACTACCGTCCTCGTCCTATGACTATAAATACAGGACGATCAAGGAGGACAAAGCGCAGTGAATATGTTGACTCCGTGATTGTTCTGTATTCTACCTCGGGTAAGTAAAAAAAT